ACTTCCCTTGCAGCCAACTTGGAAAGTACCAGGCCAGCTGCTTCTTCAAGGTTAGAAACCAGTTTTAGTGAGGGCTAAAAGGGGTTTGATGTTCAAAACTTGATTAGGTCCTAAATGTCTTAATTCTCTCTTTCACATATGCGTGCACACACACACACACTCTGCCATGTGTAACTATACATACAGTTGTGAGTTAATATTTATGAGATTGACAGGGAGAAAATTGATGTGCTTGAAACATGGTGCTGGAGGACAGCTTTGTGAATACCCTGGACTGATGGAAAGATGGACCCGAGATCAAATCAAGCCAGGACTTTCCCTAGAAAGAAAAGATGACAAAAATGAGGCTGTCAAGATGCATTGTGAGAAGGCGAGACTCCTTGGAGAAGACCAGTGTGTTAGGGAACGTTGAAGGTTGCAGAAGTACAGGAAGCCCAGAGATGAGGTGGATTAATCAATCAAGGAAGCCACCGACTTGAACTTGGAAGGGCTGAGTGGGGCTGGCATGGAGAGGCCCATTTAATCATAGGGTCAGCAGAGGTCGAAGATGCCTTGATGGCACATCACAACAACAAATGCATGGGATTGTATCACAGTACACATGTGGGAGATACACCACATTGCAAATTTATACTGTCCCCCCCCCCCAAATTATGTTTGGGCTCTGTTTGACAGTTTCTTACAGGACAATGATCCTATCTATATTTACTCAAAAGTGAGCTTCACTCTATTCAGTGAAACTTACTTCCTGGTAAATGTTTTAAGATTGCAGCCTAAGGGTACATACAGTTATCAAAGCCCCAGTGAACAGTGTGGGACTTACTTCTAAGTAAACACAGATAGGAATGAACTGCTTGTGACTGATAACATTTTAATAGGCAATTTAATAGTCTGTAGATTCTGTAAGCCTTATAGTGAGTACAAAAGGAATCCCATTTCACTTAATGGAAATAAGGTACATTACTAAGCTCTTCCTTTCTATTGATTTTAATAAGCACATTCAGTACAGATCTCTCTCTCTCTCTGGTATCCAGGAGGTCTAGAAAATTCACATTTTATTAATAAACCATAGCAGAGTCTTTGGAAATCAAGATTAAAAATTCCAGTACTCCATACAGTTCATTGTTTCTTAATATAAGCACTGCTAATAAATTACTTTGCTAAAAGGCAGGCTGAAAATTGTTATAGTGCTAATGCAGAGATCAGGAGGAAAATACAGTACTGTTTGTTTTAAATAGTAAATGGTACTGACCAGAAATGCATGTTTTAAAAAAGTATATATTCTTTAATGATTTTTAATGGTGTATTTGTTTAAACCTGCATAAGCCATCACACATGACAAAACTATCCCTTCCAGGAAAATGGAAGAGTAACATTAAGACCATCTGTATCTGCCAGTTATGGTGCTATGGTCTTTTTATCCTTTGATAAGCGTCATGATTTTATCTGTAATAACACTTATTTGTAACAACACCATTTCACATTAAGCTAACTGGCCTAGAATTTCTCTGATCTCCTGGATCCTTTTTAAAAATTGGCATTACATTGGCCATTCTGATTATAAGGCCATATTCCATTTTTTTGTTACAGGATCAGAAATTGCACATTTGAACCTGAGGCTGACTACTATGTAGGTTGTTATCCTGAAGAGAGCAACCCTGTGAACCCAGAGGCTCAGCTCATGGGTGCAGAGTAGGGGGCGTGGCAGAAGCGTCTTGTTCTCCTTGCTCCATCTTTTCACTAGATGGCTATCTACTGACAGTTTCAGAGAGGCAGAGGAGACTGGTGTAGCTCCAGGATATGCTGTGTGCTCCATTCCCTCCCCTCCCCACTCCTAATTTGCCTTTTCTGAGGTTGCTTTCTTGACAGCCGGCACAGTTCTTTCCATTTGGTTGCAAGAGAACAGGGGAATCTGGGCTTGGATTCCTAGTTTCAAGATCGGAACTCTGTCTCCAGAGTTGGGGAGCTGGGCAACCAAAGTTTCTTATGGCCCCTTAGACAAAGTTTAGGGTCTACAAGATCATTCCCTCATTATAGTTTGTCTGTATTTCCCTCATCCTCCTTTAACTCAGCTATCATCCAATGATCTTCTGCTTCTCTAGCTGGCTATCTAAAGAATTCCTTATTGTTGGTCTTGATTACATGTTTGTACAATTTTCCTCAAAATCTTGCTTCTCTGTTGCATTATCTGCTTGCATTTCCTTTGGGCAAGTTTGTGTATTTTTTATTCTCTCCGTTTGGCCAAAACTTCCAGTTCCTGAAAGAAGCTTCCCTCTTTCTAACACTTCCTTGATCCTGCTTGTTAACCATGTTGGTACCCTTTCAGTCCTAGTGTGGCCGTTCTTGACCAGCCATATAAACTTTTGCTGCCCTTCTACCATTATGGCTTGAGGAATCTCCAAGGATTTTGAAGTTTTATTAGTTCCCTTAGAGAGGTTTCCTCTTTGAAGCCAATGTGACCATGTGAATTTTTTTTTTTTTTTTTTTTTTTTTTGCGGGGGGCAATTTTCCACTAAAATATAAATTAAATTCAGTAGCACTAGGAGCACTGTTTCCAAACTGGTACACTCACACCATGCAGCAAGATTAAGTCCAGATTCACCTCCTCTCTGATGGGCTCCATCACTGACTGTTCTAGCACATAGTCATTTGGGGTATTGTGAAATTTAACCTTTCTGTCATGACTGGAACATGCATTATCATGTTAATCCGAGGATAATTAAAGTCATTTCTTTATCTGATTGCCTCCTTGCTTTCATTCTCCATCTCAGGATCACCATGGACGTTTTGGTCAGGGAGATAATAGCATATGTCAGAACTAAATTGAAGCATGGCATTGCCACCCACCGAAGTTTTGTGGAGAAGTTTTCCCCTTTTAAGGTTTCTGCTGTGATTAACATTATGCCCAGACAGACTCACCTCCAGTACAGCCTTCCCTGTCCTTCCTATAGAGCTTGTATCCAGAGATGAGAGTATCCTATATATATATCCTACAATTATGGTTTTGTTCTTTCAATTTAATTTTTGTATGCATGCCTTTTTAACTTTTGCTAACCACCCAGAGAGCCTTGGCTATTGGGCAGTAAAAACCCCCCAAATGAAATAAATAAATATTCTTCTGATTTTCTCTATTCAGTCTGTTTTCTGTTATGCCCAATATAACCATATATTCCCTTAACACTAATCACTGCAACTCTCCCATCTGGCTTTGGAGGCTTCTACTATTAGCAAAGAAAACATCTCTACACTGTGTCCCTCCACAATGATCTCAGTGGTCTTTTATAGGCCTCTTTTCTTGGGTATCTTTCAATGGCTTTCATGTTTCACTTTTGTTCATGGACTGCTTCTTTCCTGTCCCCACTTGGGCATTCAGAAATATTCTCACCTTCATCTGCTGGGGATGAACATGAACAATTGGAAACAACATCCTTAAATGCGCATGCTCTGAAAAGATCTACAGATATAAATGATGGGCATTTAAGGAGGTGTGTTTATCATCCACCATTGATGTGGTTGCTTCAGGACACACAAGGCAAATGCAACTGTTGTGTAAAGTGGTTTTAAGTTGCAAGATAGTATGCAACAATGAGCAATTTTCCTTTACTGCCCTTATAGATTTGTCACAGCCACTGCCCAATCAGTGCTTCCAACCAGGTGCACAGACATGGGTGCATAAGGACATTATCTTAGTCATAGTCTTGTTCTTTGCTGCCTCAGGGAGAGAACAGCTAAACAGAACGGGTGTAACTTATGGGAGAACATTAGGAAAACGTTCCTGACAGCTGGACACTGGAGCATGTTGTTCAGAGATTTCCTCAACATGGTGTTCCGCTGGCATCTTGGACTAGCATCTCCCAGCCCCTGAATCCTGGGAGTTGTACTCCAATTTATTTATTTAAAGTATTTATATGCCGTCCTGTCGCGAAAGCCTCAGGACGGCTCACATAGATATTTGAAAATCACCAGACCGGGGAAGGCTGACTTAGAAGCCAATGGCCTCTCCTTTGCTTGCACTCTTCAAGCAGAGGCTGGACAATCATGCAGGTGTTCCAGCACTGGGTTTCCTGTAGGGAATTAAGGCTTGGACTAGATGGCTTGAGATCCTCTGCAGTGTAGTCTTTAGTGCTGGACTGGGACTCGGGGGATCTGGGTTCTCGTCCACACTTGGCCATGAAGTCAAGTGAGAATGATTACTGCCCCTCCGTGTTGCAGTTGGGAGAAAGCGGCACCCTTAAGGTCGGCTAGCAAGTCATGGCAAAGGCAATAATGCTTTCCAGTACTAAGACAATATAATTTCGGGAAAGAAAGGCTATTAGGAGCTGCAGATCTACATGTCCACATGTGCCGAATGAATGAGAAAATAGCCAGAGAGGGTCATTGTGATGAGAGGGTTTGGCTGGGATCGGAGAAATCCGGGTTCTAGTCCCCACTCTGCCACAGAGCTCACCGGGTGACTTTGGGCCAGTCACGGGCTCTCAGCCCAACCTACCTCACAGGGTTGTTGTGAGGATAAGGAGGAGATTGATACTGTAACACCCTTTGTAAGAGTAGAAGCAGTATATAGCTGTACTACTACTACTAACAGACAGAGGAAGCAACAGCAACAATACTCGTGAAAGATATTAAGAAGGCGCCCCCTCCAGCGCGGGCTCTGGCACCGACCCAGGGCGCCGGTGCCTTTCCGCGGAGAGCCACGGCCGGGTCTGTTCGGCCCGTCTCAGCAGCCGCCCCCACGCGTGAGACCTGCTAAGACCCGGGTCGGGAGCCCGCGGGGCTGCAGGGGCCGCGCCGAAGGCTGCTCCGGGAGAGCCCCGTCCGGGCGGGGAGCCACTCGCAGGGCAGCGGCGGCGGGAGCCCGGCGCTGGGGAGGCAGCGCGGCGCAGCGCAGGGCAGGGCAGGGCAGGGCGCGGGAGGCCGTCGGGAAGGAGGGCGGGGCTCCGCGCTTGTTGTTCACGCCGGAGCGCTCGAGCGAGTCTCTGGAGAGAACAAGGGGCTCATTCAGCGCGCGGCCGGCAGGGCCAGCAAGGCGAGCGCTGCCCGCCAGTCCGCTGCTCCCCGCTGCGATTCCGGCGCACCGTCGGGGGCCGCGCCATGCCGCCGCTTCTCTACCTGTCACTCTTGCCGGGGCTGGTGCTCGCCTTCAATCTGGACACGAGCAACGTGGTCGTGTGGAGCGGCGATGCGGGCAGTTACTTCGGGTTCTCCCTGGCCATGCACCAGCAGCTGGTGCCGGAGGACAGGCGGCTGTAAGTGGCTCCGGAGCGCGGCCGCGGTGGGGGCTTGGCTGCAGCTCGATCTCGGCTCCTGGGAAAGGCGGGCGGGCGGGCGGGCGGGCGGGGAGGGGGCAGCAGGGTAGCTCGGCCTGCCCAGTCCTAGACGCACCGTGCAGGGGGCTGCGGGAGACGCGCCTTCTCCAGCCCTTCCTTCACGTTGTGCTTCTCCGCTCAGCTGCAGGCTCGGTGGGATCGGGAGAATCTCGGCTGGGTGAAGCAATGATTGACAGGTTTCAAATTCGGATTGAGCTCCCCCCTCCCCCCCAATATATATATAAGCTTTGCTGGTTTTGAATCCTGATTGGAGGCGCACGCGCCTGTGGCAGATGTGCAGGTGGTGGGACCGGGCGGGAGGAATCCCCTTCGTTCCCACAGGCAGCAGCTGGAAGCGGTTGCTCGCTTCCCCCTTATCGCTCCACACCGAAAAACGTGCATTTACACGGCCCTGTCGCCACAGATCAGGCTGAAGGGATTCTGGATTCGCTCCCACTTGAGAGAGCGGAGCCGCCGGAGGCGCAAGCTTTGAAGTTTGTTTAACGGCGGTGCCCGATTTCTCCACCAGGGGATTGAAGGTGTGGAGGGGAGAAGGCGCCCGCACTTCCGCCGGTGTGTGAAGCAAATCTCTTCCCTCCAGAAAATAGGTGTGTTGGTGTGTGTGGTAGTTACCGCGCTGAGCAAAACGAGGAGTCGGGCAGAAAGACCAGCCAACCATCCACCTGTTAGCGGCGGATGGTTAGGCTGGAAAACCAGATGAACCAGGCATCGCGGCGATCGGATGGGGCAGATCAAAATGTCGGAAGGGAGCTGGTATTTTGAAAAGCTGCCTCTGACTGAGGTGCGATTTGCAACACGAAAACAGCCAACAAACACCTAAACCCTTTTTCGGGCAGGCCTGCCTGGTTTAAAAAGTAGAGCGGTTCGCATGAGGCTTAAAAGCAAACTCAACATCAGAGAAAGACTCTGCAGGCTGAGTTCGAGTCCAAACAAACTCTGCCTGCTGAGATTTTGCATTCTTGGTCCTTGCTAACAAAGAATGTCGAGCTGGGGGTGTACTTCAGCCGGAGGACCATCCCCCCAAGGGAATGTAAAACTTCTCAGGTCAGTTCAGCAGCGAGGCCAAAGGGCGGTGCTAAAATAAGCAAGCATGTTCCCCTGTGCAGGAAAACACATTTAAAAGACAGAATGCTTGCTTTGAACTGCATTTGAATGCTGGCTTCTTTGAAACAGAGAAGTAAGATGAATGGGAATCCCTTCCCTTTTGTGTGTGTAGGGTTGCCCTGCTATGCCAGGCGATCTTGCTGAGCCATCACAAGGGACCTGCCCCCAACTTCTTCTGCTGATCTATGGGTTAATCAGGCAGCCACTTCACCCGGAGTGAGAGAATTTCACAAGCGGTGGGGTGGGGAGCAATCCCGCCTGCTCCTCCCCCATTCGCAAAAGTCTGGTCTGCAGAAAGGAGCTGGTGAAGGTTTTTGGAGAGCAACACAGGCTGGTGCTAAAGCAGGCAATCCTAGTGATTTTAAAATGGTATTGATGCTTGCATGTTTGGCATAAAAGTCGGTTGGATGCAGAAGCCAAGCTTATCTGTTTGAACGACAGGGATACTTAGTGCTCACACCTGGAAGCCAGGTTTTGCACTGGAGAAGAATCCTGGCAATGAACAAGGGAAATAACTGGAGAGATGCCACCCTTAGAGTAAGATGAAAATAGGCCTATTTTTTGGCAGATGATTTGGTGAAGACAGAACTACTGAAAACAAGACTGATTAACTTGGACCAATGAAATAAGTTAGGTGTAAGAATTTTTTAAAGAAATGCAGTATTTTCATGCTTAGCATTTATGCAAATTTTATTTACATAATAGAATTTATTTATTTTTTTGTTATTTGTTTTTATTTGTCGTTATTTTTGGCGTCAGGTGAAGACCTTTTTAATCAAATGTTATTTTAATTGTTAATATTATTTATTCATTTTATTCTTTGGCCAGGGCGACTTAATTTATATTGTTAATTTATATTGTTAATTTATATTATTCTATTTTGAAGTTTATTTATGGTTGTGAGCTGCCCCGAGGCTTCGGCGAATGGGGCGGCATAGAAGTCTCCTAAATAAATAAATAAATGTCAATTAGAACGTTCAGTGTCTTTTTAAATGTATTATCTTTCAGTCTTTATAAACAACCTTGCAAATTAGACTGGTATTATCTCATATTAAATATGGGGAATTAAGGCTGAAGAGAAAGTGACTTCTCTAAGGTGTTCATTAAGAGGTAAAATATAAAACAGGACATGCTGGACTTACAGCACAATCTTATGCATGCCTACTCAGACATCATTTTCACTGAGTTCAGTGTACTCTCAGATGAGTTTGCAGCCTTACAAGACAATCAGGCATAAATCCCACTATATTCAGTGGGGCTTTCTCAAGCATTGATCCCTTAGTCACTGTGCTAGACCCATTGAAGAAAGGTTGGTTTTCCCCAGGACTTAAGATGAACAACCCCTGTCAACTCTTAAATGTTTTATGTGAAATAATATATATGGTGGGAAGAGGTGCCTAGAAATGAAAAATCCTATTTGGGGTGTATAGCGCTGGCAGCAATGGCTCTCCTGGGGTCGCAGGCCGAGTTTTCCCAGCCCCACCTTGAGTTGCTGGAGGTTGAACCCAGGGCCTTCAGCATGCAGAGCTGGGGCTGCACCACTGAGGTGCGTCCACCCCCTGTAGCCCTAATCTTTGGATGAAGAATCCTGCAACATGACAACATTTAGCTCCTTTCATAATACATTGCATTTCGTTCTGGAGCAGAGAAAGATTAAAAAAAATCCCATTCCTTTTCTTTGCCCTGGAGGTTCTGGTGAGCTGCCACAAGTATGAGCAAGTACTTTCTTTGCGAATGGCTGAATCATGTTGCTGCAGGCGTTGGACCAAGATCTACCAACCTGTCTTTTGGCTGTGCATTTTTTTCCTACTGGCTTGCTCACAGCCTTTCTCTGTATGTATATTGTTATGTATAGATGTTCCAGACATACCATGGGAGACTCCATGGCTCCAGCTATGCACATGCAAACATTATTTATTTTATGATTGCAATCCCAGACACTCACTCGGAAAATAATATTCATATATTATTCATATGTATGTATGTATATATAATATATATAATACAATATGTATATTAAAATAGTACAGTTAAATAAATAGGATTTGTCCCTGGCCTTGTAAATATGTTTAGGATTGGGGTAAAATGCTTTTTAATAAAAGGCAATGAATGTGAAACAATCAACACTTAGTGCATTAGATACATTTTCAGGGGCTCTTGTAGCATCCATCCAGATAGTTTGGATTACAACTCCCATGAGTCCCTATCTGCATTGCCAACTATTAAGGATTATGGGCGTTGAAAAAATCTGAGTGCACCAAGATGTCTACTTTGGACAATCACAAAAGGAATAAACAGTCTAGTGACTCCCTAAACAAATTTATTATGGTATTAGCTTATGCAGTCTGAATGCATGAATGTTATACTAGATTGGTAGGCATATATGCAGATGGATTAGAGAGAGAGGAAAAGTATCCAGTGAGATCAGAGGGAAAACTTCATACAAAAATCAGAGACTGCTAATACTATTAAGCCTTGAATGGATGTAAAATAATTACAGTGACTATTCACAGGCTAACAAGTCTGCCCAAATTCAGCAAAGGATTTAATTTAGGTTATTCAGGACTAGTTCACATGTGCTGCTTTTTGTGGAATAACTCAATCCCCCTGGGGATATGCACTATGCAAGAAAAGTCTGTATTTATTAATCAATCCATAAATAAAATGTTCCTGGCTTGCACCGATGAGCTTGTGTTAATGATGGTAGTGGGGAGAGAGCTATTTTTAATTTATGCTGCATTTTCATCTCGCCATTCCTTCATAGAGCTCAAGGACAGTGTACTTTGTTCTTCGCCACCAACCACCCCGATTTTATGATCACAACAAGGTTGTGTGATAGGCAGAGAGAGACAGAGATGGTGGTCCAGGGTCACCTAGTCAGCTTTGTGGCTGAGCAGGGATTTAAACCTGTTTTTTTCCCAGCCTAAAGGCATTGCTGTAACCACCACTCTGGGTCTCCAACTAACCCCAGGGTAAATATTTCCACTGCTAAATGCAGTGTAGTTGTCAGAGTAGAGGGCCAGGCTGGGTGTGGAAGGGAGTTCTTCAGGGCATCTGGAGGGCACCAGCTCTGGAAAGGCCAGAAGAGGCTCCTTCCCTGGTTTCGTATACCTTGGTACCATCAGTAAAACTGTTTATTGCTTTTAGACATATGCCACTGCAGACAATATACCAAAGCGAAGTACTTAAAATGAAGACAAAAGGCATGAGTATTTGGGAATCACAGTTCTCATCTGACACAAGCAATAACTAAAACCCAACTTTTATTAAAACTTGCGTTAAAAGCGACCCCAAGTTTAAAAATTCCCCGCAGTATCAGTGGCTATCCAAAGTTGCCTGCAACAGATCCCCCCCCCCCATGTTAGTGAGGGCTCTCTCTTCTGTGTGGAAGTTGGATAGCTATACGATAATCGCCCTCTTAGTTTTGCCCTAGTTCGATGGGTGAGGAACGCTGCGGGAAAGTCTTGTTTTCATTTGTTCAACCGCAAGCCGCTAGTTGCTGCTGCTGTTACTGCTTTTAATACGTTGCGTTTATATTCTGCCATTTTTCTGTTGCAAGGACTCAAGGCAGTTTACAAAGTTCTTCTCCATTTTATCCTTACTGCAACAACCCTGTAGGGGAGACTAGTCTGAGAGTCCATGACTGGCCAGAAATCATTCAGGAAGCTTCATGGCTGAGTGGGGACTAGATCCCCTGAGTCCCAGTTCAGCATTCTTTAAGTGCTACACAACATTGGCTATGACAAAAGTTTTAATTTACCCTTCCCTTGCCCAGCGCCCTCCAGATTAGTTGCACTACAATCCCCATCATCCCC